TGGAGGACCCTCGTGAACATGGTAATGAATCTTTGGCTACCATAAAATGTGGGGATATACTTGAGTAGCGAATAGAACCATCAAGAAAATGCTTAGTACTAAACCAGAAGGAAATAGAGTGGGAAGACCAAGGTTAAGATGGGAAGAATGTGAGTGGCAGGACATAAGAATTTTGGGTGTAAAGAACTGGAAGAATGTAGCATTGAATAGAGAAGAATGGCGAGCAATCCCGAGGAAGGCCAGGGCTCACAAAGGGCTGTCGTATCAGTGATAATGATGATACTTGAGTAGCTGCAAAACTGGCTGCCTCTCAAGGATGGCTCAGTTCCATAGAGTTATTTAATTATGATTAAGAAGGTGTTAGGATCAAACACGCCTATCCATCGCCCTTTAGGTCTGATGACTGTCTACACAGATAACAGTTTACTTACTCGACTGCATCTCGCTTGCGGCCAGGTTATTGAAGTGTGAATTTGACTATCTTGGTGGGGAACAAGCCTTCAGTGTTCATTCTTCCGTGGCATCCATTGGACTGTGTTTGAAAAGAACATCTTATCTGGACTCCTATTGACATTTCAAACCTGATTAACATTTCCACTGTGTTACACATAACGGTTTCTCCTCAGTGGTCCGCGTGTGGGAGGATGCTTACACAAGTCATTAATTGGAAGTCGGACTACTGTAATATTTACATTCCAGGTCGATTACAGTGGCTGTGCGGTACTGTTCCGATCTCTCGAACCCTATGGTTCTGGGTATGAATCCCGCTAGCTGCAGAAATGTTTGTCCGCCTTTTATCACATGCTATTACAGGACTTGGGATAGGCTGATTCTACGTCCAAGGAGTCCTCCTAATCATCTGTAAGATTCACAATTTCATAAGCAAATTCTGAATTGGACCGGTCACGGTAGCCGAGCGGTCTAAGGCATGTACTGTCTTCGCTCGCTTGGAAACTGGGATCGTGGGTTCGAATCCTACTCAGGGCATGGATGTTTAGTTTATGTGTGTGCGTTTTTCTGTGTTTGTGTACAGGTAGAGGCCTTGCGACGAGCTGATCACCCGCTCAAGAGTCCCACCGTATGTCTAAGATCTAGAAAAAGACCGAAGTGAACGGAGAAGTTCATGGAGGTAGGCCTAGGCCCACTGGGGCTGTAGTGCCAAGGAAAAAAAAAGTTAAATTTATCCCTGTGCTTAACTAATTAAGCACTACACCATGAAGGCGTATGGGGGAGTGGATATTTAGGTTCACATTTTCTTAACCTCGGTATTAGCTGGAGGTGAGTGGTCACCTTCACGCCCTTGTCGCTTTACCCCCGGGGAAAGAGACCACGGTGCCCATTGGGTAGGAGGCTGGGTGGACCCCAGAGCCAGTCTGGACGACGTGGAGAGGAGAAAATTCTTGATCCTACCGGGACTCGAACTCCGGCCCCTTGGTCGCCCAGCCCGTAGCCAGTCGCTATACCGACTTAACTGAAACAGGTCAGAAGCTTAATCTGAAAAAAATGAACGATAGAGACGAAGATTTGTGTGACGGATATTGAATATGGTATAAAGAAACAAACTCCGTGGCTTTAGTCCGCAAGCGAACTATACCGACCGAGCGACTGTCGCTTGTCGGCGAAGTTAGTGCCAAATTTAGCGGATAGAGGGTGTCGCGTGGTCAGTGGTCAGCGGAACGAATCCCCACGGCCATTAATTTCGGTTTTCTAGATCGGAAGAATATGGTATAAGCAAAATAAAACGTCAATGTTCACGCGATGACATATACGACATAAGCCACTTTTGACTAAACAATTTAGGCTTATCACAAAGACGACAATAAAAAGAACTGTAACACGCACAATTTCTATCTTTTGACAGTACTAGATAAATACATAGAATTTGTTTCGGCCATTGCAAGGCCTAGATATTCTGTTGCTCGGTTCTCTCCGCGGCGACTCGGGTTCTATAAATAATCAGGCAATACGGGGGCTTGTGGTAGCTGAAGTGACACTGGGACGGAATATCTCCGGCTACTTCGACTTCTCTCTACGATTCTGACTTCAGTGACTGATCCGTATTAATCGATTATCCCCTTTTCCGACGCAATGTAGCCCGATACCGATACCAGTCAACATGTGCTCTGAAGGAAGTAAAGGAGGGATAGGAAGCAAGGAAAGACATACAATATATAGTGATGACAAATGTAATATTAGTGAATATTGGTTTTCAGTGAGTGTGAAATGTTTATTAAACGTATTTTCATGCGACTTGGCTGCCAATTCTGGTGAAAAACTCAATTCCTATTCTCCAATTCATTCATCCGAAAATTGTACGCTGAATGTTCTTGTTACAAAGCCAACGAACAGTAAGAGCGTTGTGAGACTTCAGTCCGTTGGTTCCTGATTGGAATATGAGCATCAGATAGGCCGTGTTTTATTTACGTGTGATGTTGCAATAACAAAGCAGTGATGTAATCAGAGAGCAAAGTAGCAACGAATGGTCATTGTGTGTGTGTGTTAAAACTGCCACTCTCACGCACGCACAAGCGGAAAATAGGGCAAGCAACGAGATTACTTCGGTTAATGAAACGAAGTTATGCCGTCCGCATGGCACTAGGACCCTCTCCCGTATTGTCTGGGATACAACAGCTCTCAGAGTTCTTAAAACAAATAGGAATGATTCCTCCTTATGCAAATATAGAACGTTCCAAACAAACAGTGCATGAGCTGTTGACTTACATAGACTGAATTCTGTTTGTTGAAGTATTACCTTTTAATTAATTCTACGTAATAAATTTGTTTCAGGGGCTTAAGTGAAATCCTTCTATTCTGAGAGTCGAGGTCCGTCATATCTCCTGTCCCCACAGACGATGGAGAGTGTATGTAGTGTGTGTGTGTGTGTGCATATATATAGTAACGAATTTGAGCAGCAGGTCGGTAAACACTAATAGAGACAACAATAAAAGGGAAACTGTGTTTTCTGTGGTACCGCGTCACGACCGTTACTAAGCAACTGTTCGGTAAAAAACCTCAACAACAGATAGAATGTTTTTTGTGTGGTCCGTGCCGAGAAAAACTGCGCTGGCAAGAGCCAGCAGCCTGTAGGAAACATAGACCCATTCTCCCGTCAGAGAGGGTGCCCCACAAAAAAGATCGTTAACTGTAAAAGTTTAATAAATCTCTAGTCATGAACCCGAGATGAGTTCCTTGCAATAGCTCCTCAATTATCCTCACGAGCCTGAGTGGACCCCGTTCCAGAACCAATACTTCTCAGAAAACCTAGTAACGCCGGGAATCGAACCTCTGGATCTGTAGGCAGGAACTCTGACCACTAGACCATAGAGGCGGTCATATACCTAAGTACTATTAAAATTTATTCGTGACTCATCACGAGAAACACGATGTAAATGACTGACGATAATTCAGACTTTTTAGCCTACTTTCCCGTATCCTGATAAGAATTTTAGGTTTAAGAGGTCACTTTGCTGTCTGTGTGTATTTCCCATAACATTTCTGAAAGCCTGAATCAATATTTACGGAACTTAATATGCATATCTTGCCACCTGCAGCCATCTAAGTGGCGTAATTTATAAATTCCCCCCGAACACTAATTCCCACACTACAGTCTCTCAAAAATTTCAGATAGCCTTAATATTATTTGAATGCCTGAATAGATCGTCATGAAACTTGGTGTGTGTATCATGCTGTCTGAGACAATTTTAACGGCTACTTCATAAATTTCCCCATCAGTAATACCAACATTGCAGCCCCTCAAATTTTTAGGTAACAGCCTTCATATTACTTGAATACCTGAATCGATTATCACGAAATGTAGTATGAACACGAATATCATGCCACATGAGGCAATCACAATGCCGTACTTCACAAATTCCTCCGGTTTTACTAAATTTCGAAATATCTAAATAGTGCAAAATGCTGTAGATGAAAGGTAAAGAAAAATATGTTAACAATTTAATTACATGGACTTTCCACATTCTTGCTCACTTGCTTACAAATAAGAGACACAAGACTGTACTTGGACTTGAAGCGATAAATATTTGGGGTCTTAAACATTAACACTTAAAAATTCTTGAGATTAAGAAATAGGGCAAAGTTCAGTTTTTGAGAATCAAAATTCCATCCGGATTATTTCAATTACAGCTCATGAGCAGTAAGTGGGAAGATTTCATAGTAGTGTTTAAAATTCTCTAAATCTAGAAATAAAGAAAATTGTTTGCTAATTCTAGACTCTATACTTCATATTTCGTTTAATTGCTGTACTGCATAAACGTCTAAAGTTTTTCATGTTCTCCTGAAAAGTGACACTATCACGGCCGGAAGTGGGGTGGCCACGGGACACTCAAGATTTGGAGGCCTCTATGGGTAACAACAAATTTAGGTTATGGCAATTCTTTTTCTGTCCTTATTTCTAATAAAAGTAAAAAAAGTAAAGCTATCCCCAAACAAGACAGTGAAGGCCCATATGTTTTTGAGACGTTGAGGGTCCCACATTGTCTAGCCAATCGGCTCAAAGATGGCGGTAAGGTTGTCAGCCTTACGCGCCGGCCGCGCTTTACTCCCCAGGAAAATTATTTAATTAATTCCTGGTACTCATTTCTGTTAGAGGCTGAGTACACCCCAGGGCCTAGTGCGGCTGGAAGCATTAGGTCCAATGACCTCATCGGGACTTGAACCCACGACCTTCCGGCTTGTAGCATAGCTCCTCAACCACTACGCTACCGCGTGCCCCCCCCTTATTTCTAATAATAACTAAAAACACAAAATATTTTTTCGTGAATTTCTAGAAGCAAATACATATTAATACAATCTGTGGATTAGTTTCTGTTTTGTTGGAGGCTCCGTGCTGTTCCCCTTAAAGCCGGTCCTCAATTCCTTAATACAACAGATCTCATTCTACGAAAATGTCTTGATCAGGTTCAGTAACTGAATTTCTTAAGACAGACCATGTTCCATGCAATTACTCTGTTGGTTTGTGGCCACATTCATGCAATACTTACGAGTGGGGCTCGGTTTCCGTCCGACCATGGCGATGCTGTAGGAAATGTTGTATTTCTTAGTCAGGGAATGCTGTGGTCTTGCCTTGTAGTAGGTTCCTAAAGTTGCCAGCACTGTACTGTTGTACTTTCTTTGCCGGAAAGTAGAATAAGGTAACACAATTCCAAACGTAACGCGTTTTAAGTTCCTCTGTAACATCGCGGTTTTACGCATTCCGCTACCAGTCCGACTTCTAAGAGCGGCTGTACTTACAGTTGCCATTAGCGTCAAGAAGAGCAAGATAATTCGAAACCTCACCATCGTTAGTAGCCGTAACTTTCATGCACTTCCTTGGCTGATCTTGTCACTTGTTTGTATCATGACACTTCATCCATAATTCTTCAAGTGTTTATTCAGACACTGGATAATTGTATCAATTCGCCATCATTTAGCATTAATATTCACATTAGAATAATTATATAAAATTATGACAGGCATTAGTTACTGTAAAATAAATGTCTAAATACAGGGAATAAAAATAGTATGGTGAATATTATACAATGATTTAAGGGAAGGAGGCAAGCTCTATATCCGAGATATTAATTTTGTCTTATTAACGTATATTTTCTGAACAACTGTAAACTCTACACTCCTCAAATTCGGTACACAGTTATTTTATGCATTTTAATACGTAATGCCTTCTATTTATATCTGACACATAGATTCATGTGGGGCATGCGGTAGCGTAGTTGGTTGAGGCATTATGCTATAAACAGGAAGGTAGAGGGTTCGAGTCGCAAAAAGATGGACTTTTTCGATTTACCTATCCTTCAGGCCGCACTATGGTCCTGGGCTCGACTCAGCCTCTAACAGAAATGTGTGCCAGGAATTTTCTTGCGAGGTAAAGCGCGGTTGGCGCGTGAGGCTGACCACCTCACCGCCATCTGTGTGCCGATTGTCTAGAAAATGTGGGAGCCTCGACGTCTCACAACCCTACGGGCCTCCACGGCCTGTTACAGGGATAATTTTACCTTACCTTTACATAGAGTCATGAAGCCAATAAATAATATCATCGGAAACGAACAAATTAAGCTTTGATAAGAAAAATTCCAAGAAATCCGTTTACAAACATGTTACTATCACGAAAATAATTTCGCTTAGTGTGGGGTGGAGTCCAACTGGGTCCACTCGGCATGATGGCCACTAATTGGCCTATTGTACTTGCCCCGGTTGATTATGATGATGCAGAAATTGGTGGAATGAAGATTTGCAGGGGAAACCGAAGTACTCGGAGAAAACTAGCCCCAGCACCACTTTGTCCACCATAGATCCCAATTGACCAGACCCGGGATCGAACCCGGGCCGCCGCGGTGGGAAGCCAGCGACTAACCGCTTGAGCTATGGTGCAGCCTTTGCTAGTACGAAAGTCAATACATGTAAAGAACCCATAAATAACTCTGTACCAAACGCGGAACTGCAGAGTATCATGCAGTTGTTTAGAGAAATGTACTTTAATATTACGAAAGTCACACTACAGACATAGGGTTAATCACCTCCTCCTTATAGAGATTATTGTATCAGCTTCTAAGTCGTGCCTGCGAGCACCTGCTGCATATCGGCCAGGTTCTCAATGTGGCATTTCCTATATCGGCATCAGCGATATAACCTTGTCTGACAATACCGGGAAATACGTTTTTGGTAAAAATAAACGTTGGATGAATGTAAAGGTGAAGTCCCTGTATTTAATCACTACGCCATGAAATTGAACGGGAGATTGGAGTTACAGCTGAAAGCCCTAGACTGAGGCGAGTGGACATCATGGACCGGCCACTTAAACCTCGGGAAATAACCTTCTGGGTAGGAGGCTGGGTGACACTAAGGGACAGTATGGATGGTGTGCAGAATAGGAACATCTCTTGATCTACTGGGAACGGAACCCGGTTCCCGGTTCGCCAAACTCGTATCCTAATCACTATATAGAGTAAATTAGACTCCCATAAAATGAGCTTCATAATCTTTATAGGAACCTACTGGTCTTCTGGGATGTGACGCCCTATAGTCTGGTAGACAATTACCAAAGTTTTTAAGACACACATAACTGCGACATTCCACTTCATGACTCAAAAGTATACAAAACCCATCACAGAACTTCACATCTCATAGATCCTAAAAGTCCGACATTTATAGTATTACAGTACGCTCAGGTGAAGTGAGAAATAGGTAAAGGTAAATTTGCAAAGGCAAAAAGGTAAAGCTATCCCTGTAACATGCCGTGGAGGCCCATAGGGTTGAGAGACGCAGAGGCTCCCACATTTTCTAGACAGTCGGCTCACAGATGGCGGTGAGGTTGTCAGCCTTACGCGCCGGCCGATCTTTACCCCCTAAGAAGATTCCTGGTACTCATTTCTGTTAGAGGCCGGGTCGAGCCCAGGGCCATAGCGCGGCTGGAAGGACTGGGCAAAGTGACAAATATCCAATTACCTCAATGGGAATCGAACCCGCAACCTTCCGGGTTGTAGCATAGTGCCTCAACCAACTACGCTACAGCGTGCCCCAAAGGTAAATTTGTTTCTGCCCTTAATTAATTAAACATTATGACATGGACCCCGGAACCGGTCTGGGCTCTGTGGAGAGGAACCTTGCTCCTGCCGGGAAATCGAACCCCGGCTCTCCAGCTCATAGCCCGTCTCTATACTGACTGAGATATCCCGACTCATATGTGAAAGGTTTCGGTTCCAGAAACCTCAGGGAAAGTAGTAGCTAGAAGAACATTTAGTTATGAGAAGAAAACAAGACGTGAAGTAACCGACTGGGTTCTCTAGCTAACCGACCGAAATTTTGTACACGTTTCTCACCTACTGAACTCATCGTTCGATCCCTGTCCATCCCATTCCTGCCAGTTCTATTATTCTAAAAATGCATGATGTAATTTTCTTCCCATTCATGTTACATATATTTCACTATCACAGACGTCTGTGGTCTAGTGGTCAGAATTTCTGGCTACATATCCAGATGTCTCGTGTTCAGTTCCCGGCGCTACAACATTTTCTGAGAAGCAGTGGGTCAGGAACGGGGTCCACTCAGCCTCGTAATGATAACTGAGGAACGATTTCAAGGAAATAGCGGCTCCGGTCTAGAAAACCGAAATCAACGGCCGTGGGGATTCGTTGCGCTGACCACGCGACACCCTCTATCTACTAAAATTGGCACTAACTTCGCCGACAAGCGGCGGCCTCTCGGTCCGTGTAGCTCGCTTGCGGACTAAAGACACAGAGTTCGTAGGAGTATGAGTGATGATGATGGGTCGCAAGAAGATTTTGTTGTATTCATCTTAATAATAAAATAACTGCTATAAAAATTATGAATTCTTAAATCAGTATGGTGCAAGGCAAGCAACAAGTAGCAGCCATATTCTCAACAAGTGTCTCCTATATCATTGTGTCTTAATCGGTGGTACGCGTGCCTGGAGGTGGACGCGAGAGAGGTCTCTGCGGTACGTGAACACGACTGAAACGCGTGAAAGTTATTTTTGTATACTTTTTAAGCCGTCACAAATACGATGGAAAGTTTACTGAATATATGTAATTTTTTTCCAAATATCTGATTACGATTAATTTTTTAAAAACAAATATTGAAATGGCGGAAAATGACTTTTTCAAAATTTTAGTTTTTTGGGATATTCTAAAAAGAATATTTTTACGAAAATGCACTTTTCAAAAAAGTTGAGAAACATTGATTAACATGTCTATTTATCCATTGCATGAATTACATTATTGTTTTTTTAACTTCACATTTCTATTATTGTGGAATCTACAGTATTACAGTATATCTTACAGGGCTTTCTACTGGAACGGTTCAGGGTCTAAATTAGTTTGAATTTTTAAATAATCCTAATCTATTAAACGACTAGCGCTGTACATTGTATTGGCAGAAAACAGAAGCTTTTGGTTTGCTATGTTAGTACGCCTCTCGACCGGATGTAGCGTTGACAACAGCCGTGAAATAAAATGGCGAATTTCCCAATGGCCCGCCTCCTCAATCACCTGACTTCACCGCATCATGATGTAATCCCACAGGAAAACTCAAGGATCAAGTGCATCGAGCCTCCTATCATGAATCATTGTTGAATGCCGGTAAGAAATTTTGGATCTGCTGCCACTACTAACCTGATATGCTCACCCATTTGTGGGACGAATTATTGTATAGGTTGGACACTGTCACCTTCACGCGACAACACCGAAGATAACATTTGGAAAATGCACTGGGAAAGAACTCTCTCTTCTTCAGCAGTACAGTGCACTCTGTTTCACATTTTCAAGTCTCACAATGACTGAGACACGGGTTTGGATTGGTAGTTGGTTTTATTAATAACCTACACGTCGTAACTACAAGGAATTATAAACTATTGCTGCTTTACACAATGTACAATCACTCCACGCTAATTTCTTGAGTCTATCTGCACTAGTCTTCACTAGTTTATAATGAGGGCACTATAACAGTCTCACTTAATCACACTCCAAATATTACACATGAATAAAGCCTTCAATCATACGTTAAGTCATCACAGGCCCACTTAGGGATAGATAAGGTAGATTAGATAGGTAGATAGACAGACAGGCAGACAGACGGATAGACGGATGGACTGATAGATAGATATGTAGGTAGGTAGGTAGAGTGAGTGGGTAGGTAGGTATGTAGATATATTTTTTAGTGCATATACTGCTCTCTGCATTAATCATCTGTAATTGCCACGCTCATCTGGTCGTCTGCGAACACGACTGTACTTGGAATTAAGTTCTTCATTAAAATATATCCTTTGAGGACCTGCTGCCTACCTTTAGTGACTTCGTCATTGTTACGATGCACGTGATAAGAACACCGACTACTCCTCTTTTGAGTCTCAGTGGCTTCCTTCTTCACTGTTTTCTGCAACACTGTCGTTATGGTTGGCATTAGACTATTGGACTCGCATCCTTTTCAGGACGTTCCAACCTTCTCTTGTTCACATATTCCTCAGGAATGACCACAAATATTTATAACCGGTCCCTGAATCCCGGGTCTGGTCAAGTGGGATTTGTGGTGGACAAAGTAGCGCTGGGGCAGGATTTCTCCTAGTACTTCGGCTTCCCCTGCCAATCTTCATTCCACCAATTGCTCCACAATCACCCTCACCTATCATCTGGGGCTGGTACAATAGGCCAGAAGTGGCCGCAGTACAAGGGACTTAGGCCCACACCACTAGCAATAAAAGAAACCGGTCTCTGCACCTCACAGATTAATATAAGTATGCAAGATATAACTAATTCCAGCCTTGTTTTTAGTTAATGCGACGCCGTCGTATTGTGCGTGGCCCCGGGGTGGTTTCAGCCCACGTGACGAGTGCTTGGGAGAGGCAGCACTGCGGATGCTTTGCTGCTAGGAATATCCTGGGGTTTCCTGTGTCAACCCAAAGGCCGCCATTTGGGGTTCAGATTTAATTAAATTTAATGTCATTTCTTGGAATCGAAACGGAAGGGCTA